CAAGAAAGAAACATTATACGGGGCATGGGGCATGTTCACTATAGTCGAGATACGTTAGGATAGAGCCTTCAAATCCAAGTGGTAACTATATGTACCACTTGCTTTAATAATCAACAACTCTCCATTTGGTCCACTGAGTATGGTCTCTTGAATAATTATCAGAATGCAAAATGATCTTTGTAATGGTGAAGTGTCGTGTTTTCTTTGCGGTACGGACTGAATCTTTAAGTGTAATTTAAACGAGCTTTGGCTTCAGAGGGTTAACCAGTCGATCTTTGTAATGGTAAAGTGTCGTGTTTTCTTTGCGGTACGGACTGAATCTTTAAGTGTAATTTAAACGAGCTTTGGCTTCAGAGGGTTAACCAGTCGATCTTTGTAATGGTAAAGTGTCGTGTTTTCTTTGCGGTACGGACTGAATCTTTAAGTGTAATTTAAACGAGCTTTGGCTTCAGAGGGTTAACCAGTCGATCTTTGTAATGGTAAAGTGTCGTGTTTTCTTTGCGGTACGGACTGAATCTTTAAGTGTAATTTAAACGAGCTTTGGCTTCAGAGGGTTAACCAGTCGATCTTTGTAATGGTAAAGTGTCGTGTTTTCTTTGCGGTACGGACTGAATCTTTAAGTGTAATTTAAACGAGCTTTGGCTTCAGAGGGTTAACCAGTCGATCTTTGTAATGGTAAAGTGTCGTGTTTTCTTTGCGGTACGGACTGAATCTTTAAGTGTAATTTAAACGAGCTTTGGCTTCAGAGGGTTAAGAGACTTAGCGATTTAGCCCAACTGCTCTGATAACAAAAGACCAATCCCTACCGTTAATAGTTAATTACATTGAGTAGAGTACAGGACGGAACCAAGCGGACAGACATCAGCCCTGACTGACTAATGCACATCGTAAAAAGAACTCAAAATAACGCAAATATCTTCAATATTTACACGCATGTATGTTCTTAAGCTTCAGGTAGTTCGCGCTAACGAACACAAGCCGAAACGCTTTCGTATTTTTTATTTCAAAATGCGTCAATGCCCAGTAGAGCCGTGATGCATGCTGGTCATTTTCATATGAATGTCTCGGAGAGTCATGCGGGCCAAAGGGATTTAATTAAAGCGGAATTCTTGCAACGACAGAACGCGAATATTGGCAGCTCCGACGGACAGGACTGAGATGACGAGGACAAACAGGTGGAGGGAGGGAGGAATGAAATAAAGATGAAATTAGGTGAGAAAAGGCGGGGAAGAAAATGAAGAAGATGGAAAGACAGGGAGAGAGAAATTAATAAATCATAACTCCATTAAACAGTCTTCAGAAACCAGAAATTCCCTTGGCTAGTTTTGCAGCCAGATATGTTTAACACGCGAAATATGAGTTTAAAAATTACAAATATGCATGTTTATGTTCTATCCTGATCGTGAAAAAATTTTCAATCAAAGAACTGCCCTCGCGACGTACTCGGACCAGTTGGTAAAGATCTATCAGCGCGGCTAGTGGGGTAAGAACGGAGGAGGACCACTCAAGTGTTTGCATTAATTACACCGGGAGACGTCGCCAAAAAAAAAAACACTTAATCTGTTGCAACAACAAATTACAAATTCCGAGAAACATAGGACGCATATCTGAGCTCACGCAATTGAAGTTTGATACCGTCAGAAAGGCTCTGTGGACGTGTGTAACCTCCAGTACGCGCGAAACTCTTCGCACATAATAGGACTACCAGTGCCATCGCGTCGCAGACACTGAAATTAAATGTAAGAGTACAATGGATAAAGGAGCTTGAGTATTCTCAGAACTTGCGCAACGTAGTGGCAAAAATCGACAACTAGTCCGATCGGAACAGACATGCAGCTACATCTAGTAACAGAAGTTAGCATTAAATTTAAACTCGAATTCAAAAATAAAGTCAAAAACATTTCTGCAGCCTTCACAGTTTTGCATGATCACAGCAGACATTCAACGCTGTCTTTGACAAAAGTTTAGCTAAAATAATTCCTGTTAAAAGGACTTAAGTATTATCTCATTTGCAGGAAAGGTTTCAGGTTCATACAACAGTGAGCATGATGACATCAGTCATCTTCATACTTGCTGCTGTGTGGACCTGAAATCTCAAAAATGTGGGGAACTGTCTTTCAGCAGGCCACATCCAAAGTCAAGTCTCTTTGTCTAAGTTGCCCATAAACCTTCAACGCTTCCATCTACAAACTGATCTTACTGAGGGCAAATCCATCTTCTGCAGCACATCTGAAAATCTCTAAAATCTCTACCCCTCAGGAGCACATGCGCTGCTTCGTTCTCGACCGAGATCACAATATAACAAAAACTATCTTAACATTTTGCCATTTAAGTGGCCAGATTAACAAAGCAAATACAACTTACTTTCAAAACTTGAGTTTACGCACAGATTATAAAAAAAACCAACAAAAATTATCGTACAAAATATTCTAAATGACATAAAATTTATAACATATAATAAAAATAAATCATCTCCAAAATTAAAGACCCTAAATGAAACATAGAAAATAAAGATTCCACATAAAACAAATCAGAAATACTTCAAGATGAATTTACCGTTACATGAAATAAGAAAACGCCAATAGAACAAATATCCTGAGATTTATTCGCGATATGAATCAGTGCACTTGCAAACAAAGCAGAAAGAAGGAAGATGAAATGTCGTGTGTCCGTAATTTAACAAACCTCGAGCTATCGCTTTAAAACACAACTTTACAATTCATATTCGTGACTCCACACCAAAACAACAAACTCCTTTTCAGCCGTGAATCAACACGTTAAGAAACTATTAGGCATGTTCATGGCACGCAGTTTGATGACCCACGGCGTTTGTTTAGAAGGCAACTTTACAATGCAAAACAGAGACTACGCACCAAAACAACTAATTGCTTTTCATCAGCTGTTATGAATGGGTTTTGCTGGCCAGCATAATAAAAGCGAGGCAGCCCGTTACAGGACGGAACTCGTGCGCTCAAACTGTACAGCTAACTGGTCACTGTCGAGTACCTGTGTGAACGAAACACTTGGCTCAAACTGCAATTATTTTCATTAGCTCAGCCTTTAAAACCAAATAAAGGAAACAGTAAGTACATTTAAATGCGATATGTAAATTCAGTTCTGAATTTATTAAAATAGATACCGATAAATTAATTATGGACGCAATCTGATGTTCAAATCAGATTTCATGAGAAATATGTTATTCTTCTGGGTGGTAATGCCATATGAACTCATAGGTAGATACTAATGTTACAGAGAAACACATTGGCTCCATCTTCACATCTGAAGATGAAAGCAGAATGTTCCTTAAAAATGTTTAAATTAAATTTGAGCTGCATGTTATATACAAAGAGTTAAACTGAACACAAATACAGTAGTTTTGAAGATGAAATATGCGGCAGGATCGGCAGACACGGAGTTACTTGTCGTACGCAAAGTCACTCTGTGAACAAAGAACGCGTTCGTGCGTAAAGTTTAACAATTCTGACATTTACAGTTTGCGAGTTGGTGATGTCTGATGACCTCTGGATTTCCTAAAAATTGTGAAAGTTCTGAAAAAAGTGTACTGGGCATAAAATATGTTTTAAGTTTTACTCTACAGGTTCTGTCTGGGAACATTTTTACTTCTTACATATATTTGAATTGACAAATTTGAATGAAACTGCCCAATATTAAATTTTGTGAAAATCTGCCGAGTGATTTTTAAGCTGTTACATGCAGACAGACACGGTAAAGACAAAAGGTTGCATTTCTACAACTTTTCACCGTGAATGCACCAAAAAATGTATCTTAGACAAATATTAACATAACAATACTCTTTGTAAATTCCAGATGTTACTTATGAGAAATTTCATCGCGACTCTTCTTCTCTACAACTGTTTTTTCATAACCGCAAACTCTGAAGAACTTTCCCGCCTGCACAAGTGGAAAAAACACTCCAAATTCTCTTCCCTCTACTACCTTGCCAAGGATTATCTGAATAATGCCAACATCTACAACACAAGTGTCGAGTTCACCGTCCCTCTGTTCTCATTCACGTTCCCAACCGTTGAAAAGCCCAACGACTATACATCACTAATAAAGCAAAACATCCTTGGACAGATCATCTTCTTTGTCATCATCATAGTATCTTTCATCCTGTCTATCGCATTCCCGGTGTTCTTAAACGAGATCGCCCCGAAGACTAGATCGTTTCCCGATCGGCAGTATTACCACGGACCGCTCTCAGACACAATTAAAATGAGTGCTCGAGATCGCGTCAATATCCAGCAATGTCTCCTGAATGCGGGCTGCGAGGGATACACCAACTATGAAGAGTACGGGCTCGTGGCTTTGCCATTTCGATATATCTTCCGGTAAGTAATATTTTACATTTTTTAATTTTTTAGTTAAAATTGTGGAAACATTTCAGCAAGGGCTGACCTATGGCTAAAGAGGAATTGTAGCCTAATAAATAAATGTTACACAGGAAGTAATTTTAAAATCTCCGTTAATAAAAACATAAATATGTACTCATTTCCACTTTGTTTAAATTCCTTTATACAGAAATATAATAAAGTGGAGAAAAGTACAAAACTCCATGGTGTAAGGTATTCCGTAAAAGTTGAGCAAGGTTTTCTTTCCTCTCGTTGCAGATCTACAGCTTCACGGAATGTCTCCCAGAGGTGGGAGAATCACAAGTGCAATACTCGGTTTCAATGTCCTTTCAACGTCTTGCGACTACTGAGATACATAACGCGTCTCATCTTCAAATTCTTTAAGTTAACATAAATTTCAGGTTCCTATTTAAGGTGTAATAAAGTCGCTTCATACCAAACTCCTGTTGTATTCATTAATATTACACCCCAAATTCCACAAGGAAATTCTAAGGATACTCGGTCATAAATTCACTCCACGAATTTCATGCATACAAAATACCAAATTTTAACATAAATCTGGTCAGTAGATTCTATATGACATGTCAGGAGAGAAGTCATTTCTTTTTAGTAAATAATACCACAAGCTGTATGAAAAGAATGTATTATATGCAAATAAAAATCACTTACACGGGCATGTCACAAAAGTTTTACAAAGGCATCCATGCATTCTGATTACAAGTTTAGTTCCAGTTTTACCTAATTTGAAGTACAAATGTGATATTTACAGAATTAGCCACTACTCACTGAAAAACACAATTTTAAATTAACCAACATTTCATTAAACCTTGAACGTGTTACAGGAACGACAATGTGGAACGGCATGCAAAGATGAAGACTTTTAATAAGTGTTTCAAATTATTACATAAAGAAAACACAGAGTCAAAGCTGGAAAGTTGATCTCCCACATTTAAGAGAACAAATACTTATAAAGAGGCACCTAATGGCCGATGCAGTCTACAAACCCAACATTCTTAGTTGGGTTAAAGAAGAACATGTTGTTGTGTGGCGACTCCTTCTGTGAAACAGCCTTGATAATTTCTTGTGCCATTACTCCTCCAACGATGGCACATGCCGGGCTCAACTCCGCAAACACGTGACTGTGCGACAAATTTCACATACTTTATTGTACGACAGACAACACAAAATTTAAATTTTTTAATAAAGTTCTTCCTGAATACAAGATACACGTTACAGCTGGACTAAACCACCTGGTACGTACAATTAATACAATACATGAACCACTGTACAGTGTGTCCACAAAGTCCCTTCGGGGTTTTGAAAAATTGTGGCGAGCAAACAAATTGAGCTAGCCACATGCGGTTCGCGGCAGATCACAGTGAAACTCTGGAAGTCTTTTAATGACCTCAGTAGACCTCGATGTGGGCTCCCTTGGTAGCAAGGAGAATGTCCAGATGATATTCGAGTTCTTGCCATGTTCTGTGGAGCATGTCCGCTGGAATAGCCGAGATCGCATTCCTGATACGGGTCTTCAGGTCATCAAGTCCGTTAACTGGTGTTTGGAACACATTGCTCTTGACATAACCCCACAGGAAAAAATCCAGTGGTGTTATGTCTGGTGAACGTGGAGGCCAAGGCATTGGACCGTCTCTGCCGATCCACCTTCCTGGAAATGTCCTGTCTAGGTACGTGCATATGTGGAGACCCCAATGAGGTGGAGCACTATCTTCCAGAGTTTCACTGTAATTTGCCGCAAACCGCATGCGGCTAGCTCAATTTCTTTGCGCGCCACAATTTTTCAAAACCCCGAAAGGACTTTGTGGATACACTGTACTATCTTAATTTCTCAAAGAAAAAATGTGATAAAATTTCAGCACACATAAACACCAAGTGGATGCTAATTAGTAATACACGATATATGTTGTCAGACCGCGTTGACAAACGTATCTTACCGAATATGGGAAACATGTTACATAAGTTGTGGCTGTAGCGTACCTGAACAGTTCGTCCGGCACTTTGTCCACTGGCACTTCCAACTTGGCAAGAACTTCATTACGTATGCTGCAGAGCTCTTTGATGTCCTCCTGCCGTTTCTTAGGGCTTGGGTCATGCCCACATTTGCTGCGAAACCTAAGGAGTACTGAAACAAACATTAAACTCATCTTATCAAACAAACTACTCACGTAATTTAGTAATAATCATAAAGTGAACTAGAAAGGACTGGGTAGGAAGCATTCAATGCCTATTTCAGGATACTGTCCTCTTCTGGCATTCACTTACGATCGAGGAAAAACCACGAAAATCACCAGCATAGTCGTTGTCGTACCCGAGATTCAACCCGGGTATATACCAAATACAAGTCATGTGAAATCCTGCTAAGACCTGAACTCAAGGAATTTCTTTCACCGTACCTCTCATAAGGAAGTAAGAACAATCAGTCTTCGGAAGGCGTTTGATGTAAGTTTCACTGGACCAATCAACATCCAGCACATCCTGCAGGGGCACAAATGTTGCAGTCCGTTTTGTTGTCACCTTAACAGGATCCACTTTGGCAATCTTTTTAGCAGGCCCCTCACAGTCCTGAATGCTGGCAATGTTGTGTACTGTCACCTCCCTTGAAAAAAACACAGATAATGAAAGCATGCATAACAAACCTGTACATGATGAAATAAATAGCAGATTAAATTAGGAAACTTCACGTTTATATAAAGAGTGGAAAGAATGGAGAAGACTTCGTAATGTCAGTGAAAGATGCTCTACTTCTACTCACTCGGCATATTCGTGTATCTGCAGGTCAGTGAATGTGTAACCAAACATTCCAAAGACGTCACAACAGAAAAACTTGATGCTCTTCTCTCGGCAGACCTGATTGATTCGAATCAACTGTTCAACGGGGCACTCTGTAGCACAGATTACATCAAAGTCTCCAAAAAATGTATCTGGTTTGTCAGCAACATCTTCAGAATCAGCTGTAACCTGCACCATGGGATTGAGCTGCTGAGCTCTACTCAGAGAAGCCTCCGCCCGCTGGTAAAATTAGTTAAACATTAAAACTAAGACATGGCACTAGTTGAGTGATTACAGAAATATAGAACAGACAGGCACAGAAAATACCTCCCTGTCCCCTACCAAATGTCCATACTTTTAATTCTTCTGTGTGATGGGAGGTTATATGCATCGCAACAGGACTCACATAGCAGGGTATGTTATATCTCACTAACTACTTACGTGAAGAGGTGCAGTATGAAAGGAAGATGCAGTCTTTAGGATTGTGTCATGTAATCTTGTAGGTGGTTATCAACACTGTGGAGGGACATATCATATCTATCTTCACAGAAAAATGTGACTGAAAGTCCAAGAACAGGGCCACTCAATCTATTTTCTTCCTTTGATCCCCTCCCATTAGAGAAACCTCTAAAACGTCAGCCAGTTCTAATGAGACTACACAGCACAACATCCAATTATTATTTGTTGTGCTTAACAGTTTCTATCTTACTTACGTTTTTACCAATCTGATCTCTTGGAGCCAGAAACTGGGAACATGAATCTTCATCAGTAACAACTCCATTATCAAGTATGGTAACTGACTTTACACCTGCAAGAATAATATTCTTGCAAATCTCAGCTCCAATCCCTTTAATTCCTACCAACAGAATTTTTGATTTTCGTAATCTGAAAATAAAAAGCATATTAATTTCACAAACATATAAATCTTACAAAATGAATATAGTAAATGAAATCCACGATCAGTGAAGAAACTGCAATCAGTATTTTCTGAAATCCTGTTATTACTCTAGCATGCAGAAACTGAGGTTAAGTACAACAACTTTGTTTTTATGGTGTGGGTACTAACCTTTTCTGTGAATCCAGACCCCACAGACGAATCTGACGGTCATATAATTCTGCTTCATCTTCCGTAAGTTCAGTCGTATTTATTTCAACCATTTTCTTATACGACGTAAATTGAATACAAGTTCCACAATCACCAACTGCCGCTACAATTTCGCTTGGATGTAGCAGGATCGCAAACTTCATCACTACGAAAGTCACTAAATCGCTCAGCTTTGCCAACTAAAAATGTGAACATTTCTACCTATGCATATGAGAAGGTTCGTAAAATCATATCGTTTGTTGGAACCTTTGCAAGCGAATGGACGTATTGGCATTAAAACTGAACAGTCACTGCTAGCATCATCACGAGTAATGATGACAGCTGACCAAGAATCAGTTGAAAGGACTTTTGTATTTCAGTTCCCGACTTGCACTACTAAACAGGAATATAGACTGGAAGTACCAATATATATTCCGTACTCTGGTTCAATAAAAGAATTAACACAGCGTCTAATTTCTTCATTTAAACTGCCTTGTTATGTTGAAAAAGGTAGGTTATGTCATCTTCGTTGTTAACAGTGCTCTAGTTTGATATGACCATAACACATAACAATGCAACTAGCCCTTATTAGCTGAAATATTTTTTTTTAAAATTTAGTTAATAGTGTTATGTGAGATTTCTGAAGTTCTTCTTTGCAATTAGATATGAGTACTATTTCTTTTTTCAGATTTACAGCCAGCTCTAGTTAAATTTGTGAAGGAACAAACAATTAAGTATTATGATGATGTTTCTGAGAAATTAATTCAGAGTGCAAGAAGTGGTGATATAGATGTTGAAGAAGTCATCAAGACTTGGGAGAAAGCCTTCAGACAGGTAATAGCACTGAATTCGAGGTACATACAGGTTTTTGTCAGAATTTTGAAGGGGGAGTGGAGGTATAGTTCCTACTCATTCTTAACCTTGGCACTAGATGGGAGGGAGTGATCAGTGTCATGCTCCAACCACACTTTGCCCCAGGTAAAGAACCCTGGTACCCATTGAACATGAGGCTGACTAGGCCCCAGAACCACTCTGGACACAAAGGCTAGAAGAGAAATTCTCTACCACTTCAGGGATTGAATCCCAGTATTCACCATATAATTCTGGAATCAAAATAAAGTACTTGTTTATGGTCTTCAGGGATGTGATGTCATGTATTCTTGTAGGGGGTTACCAAAGTTTTGTAGGAATGTAGTGCTTCTATCTTTAGAGTATAAATGAGCTAGGATATGAGCCAAAGTGAGTTTCACTTCAACCCTGAAGACAGGTGTACATTCCTCCAAAATGATGGTAAACACAGCAGTGCATGGTATCACAACCCAGTAAACAATGTTTACCATCTTCACTGCCATGAGAACCCAATTTCTCTGAACGAAGATAATCAGATGACCCTTGACTTCAGAGAGTTTAAGTCCCAGTCACTTTTTGTGTTACTGATAACATTACATTAGTTTAGCACAGTTACTGCTTCCCTTAATCATCCTTGCATGCTGTAGGTTTGGGATTATAATGGTCATGGACTGTGGTGGGTAACCCGAGTCTTAAGTGACACTGTTACGTCCTATGAAGTTACATGTAGATTAATTTTTTCTTGTGTGGTAGGAGACGGTCGAATATACTGAGCCCCAAGGAGCCACAGACGAGGAGCTGTTCTCTACCGTGTATCATAAACTAGTCCACTCCCCAGCCTTAGAAGCCATGCTACAAGTGGAACACTCATATGCATTGGCTGTACGTGAACTGACTGGACAGAGGGACGAACAAGTCGCAGCTCTTATACAGAAGTGAGTGTAGTTAACACACTGAAACAGAACCGGCACTGCTAAGATGAATCCCACTTTTTGAAACATTTCTGAGCAAGTTTAATCCAGTTTATAGTATTTTTCTCTGAATTTATATTTTATCTCATTGCTTATCCGAGTGGTTACTTTCTAAGAAATTGTCTTTCCCCCAAATTCTTTATGTATTTCTATTTATGCCTGCGCAATAAAACAGGCTTGTCGTGTAACCCTGACAATACTATACATACTAAATGTCATACAGGTCTTTAATGCATTATGCCAGTGTGTTACTTTTAATGCTAGTGCATTGACTGTGGAGAACATGTCAAACCTGATGATAGATCATCTTCACATCTCATTAATCTCTGCAGGTTAAAATAAATCCGTGGCGTAACAGCTCCAGAGAGCCAAAGCCGACTAGCCGACTAGCTTGACTGCTGGCCTCACGTTCACATGCCTAAGCAGAGGTGAACGATCATCCAACCAGATATAGGATGACGTGTGGTCAGCACGACGAACCCCCAGCCATTGCTAGCTTTCCTGACCGGATTACGCTACTTATTGTAGCTCCCCAATTTCCTCACGATGCTGGGTTGGCACCGGTCCCATACACTGGTCGAAAGCTCATGAGAAAATTTCTTTTCCCCCGAGACTTGAACCAGCGAATATTCTGTATCGCCGGTCCGATGCATGATGCCTCAGACCGCGCGGCTATGGCGCGGGACAATCTCTGCAGGTTATAAGGCATTATTAATGACATAAAATTTCTTCCTTCCAAATGTCTCTCTACTCGGTGTAGTAATTATTCTCACACATCATTTTATGTTAATGTTTCCAGTTGATAGCACATAATTAAATAATGACTTCTTTTAGTTTTCAATTTTGAATTGTGTGAACGTTGCAGGCAGACACAGGAGATGGCCTCAGCTGTGGAGGGATTCAATGTGTACAGCAGTGAACAAGACATAAATCAGCTCGCTGCGCACCACTTTGAGGACCAGAATCTGCTACAGGGGAAGTGGAACAGTGAGGTGGACACACTGAAGGAGACGCAACGCAAGGAGTATCGGGAGTGGCTTATGAAGATGCTGGAAGAACATCAGACCAATGTGACGCTGCCTACCCCTACGTATGTTCACAGGAAGGATAATAATTTCAGTCTGAAGTAAATGCCCTTAAAAGTTATGTGGCAATGATCATTGCACTGTAATAATGCTGATGGACTTAAATCTGTTTGTCATTGTTTTGCCATATGCTTCTTCATGTAAGAATTCTTATACGAGATATTAGTAACTCAACCATAAATATTAAATGTTAAGATTGGAAAGTAATTGGATTTATACTTATTATGCTAATACTCTTATAATGAGGCTAAAATGTACTTGTTGCTGGTCTCCATTATGTGTTTCTGGACGCTAAAGTGACTGGATGAAGAACCTCTATTCCGCCTTGGTTACCATGGTTATTTTGTTACCGTTGCTTAAAAGTCAGATTCTAGCAAATATACCAGAATTGTTTCACTGCGTGTACATTTCCTAACTTGTTTACTTAGTTCTTGGTACGTAATATTTACGTCGCAATGCTCC